TGTTCGATCGCTGAAACTCTTCAGATTGTCCCTTAAGCTTGATGCAATTACTTTGTTAGCATTGGCATCTACAAAGGGGGGTACATCCCAAGGAAGCCTTGGCACACTTGCATCTTGTACAGGCACGTTTGCAAGAGCACTTAATCAGTTCACTGCAAGCCTTGGATACTTCGGGAATAGTGATCCATTTGTGTTGCATGTTACCTGATGTAACGTGGATTGTCTTCGTTTCTGGCCAGTTATGTCCAGCAACCTTCAACGATAGGAACTGAAACAACTCTTGTTTGTTTAACGGGTCACGCAGGAATGACAACCAGTTGGATGGTAGTTCAGTACCAAACCACTCAGGATCMTAGAAATGAGTGACTTTAGACTTACTGGGGTGGACATTTCTTGACAATCTGTAGTAAAACTTCCAGAAAAGTTGAATCCTTTATGCTCAAGTATGTCTCTTCTTACAATTGCGGAAGCCTTGGCCAGTATCGTGCCGTCCTCGGAGAAGTCCCTTTTAGTCTTGATTGCATCTTTAACCATGCCCTTTAATGCTTTCGTGAAAACTATGACAACATTTTTTCCATCATTTTGCTCTTGTGCATCATGAACTGATCTAACAATGAATTCTTCAGTTGAGTCTTATTACAGTCTTATAAACGCCCAAAGCTTCAAGACGAATTATATAAAGTGCATGCAATTCAGATAGCATAAAAAGAAGCTTGTTTTCCTTAATATAAATCTCAATATACTCAACCAACTCAATGGATGCTTTCTGAAGAAAACATTCTGAAGAAAAGAGGCATAGACTGATGCAGGTTCATAACAGGAACCAGATGCTCTAAGAGGACATCTTAAATCTTCTGTTGTAGTTGTTTGGCATATGATGCATCGATTCCAAGATATTTCCATTTCCGATTCTGAAATAATTATATTTTYGATTAATTTTAGCTAATTAATTCGAAAAACAACTTAAACTTCAAAGAAAACCTGTTAAACCAAACTTTTATATATATTGCAATATAAAAATAGCAAGATDACGGCCTTTTAAGAGCAAAATTACTTACAGGTTTTGTAGGTAAGTCTGGGGGCCGCCATCTTGGATTTAGCCAACGGCCGAGTGGGACTGGCCACTAGTGTTTGAAAGAGATGCCGAAAAGTAGCTTTTTTGTTAAGATTTGGGGTTGTAATCGMTAGCCATGACAGATAATGCATTCCAATGGGTAGATAGCTGTTTTAACATTTATTCAAAACGATTTTACATATTTAATGAATATATTTWAAAAAAGAAGCACAGGGAGCCCAATTCGTGAAATTTGAAAAAGTAAATCCTCCGTAATTTCCCTTAAAGGACAATTTTACGTTGGGCTCCCCCTCTAACATTGATAGTACTACCATAAGCTACAACTATGCCAAGTTTGGTGCTTTTGTAAGCTCTGTAACGATCAAGACCATAAGAGACCTGACTAGTAGCATAGGAGAGAACAACACATCTAACAAACTCAATTCACATGTGGCGACCGCAGGGCTCGAACCAGCGACCCGACCCGTTGGACTCACAGCGGTGAGAGACGCCGCGTTAGCCGCGAACGCCACACATGCTACCCATTTTACCCAATTTAACATATTTCAATCCCTGGGAATTGTTCTGATGGACAGAACGATAGGCCATCTTTTCTTATGAAAAAATAAATAAAATAAATAAAATTTWAAAAAATCGAGGGGTCTTGGACTGCTGCCTGGCTTACCTCTTGAACTGCCCTGATTGGCTGTCAACACCACTAGTCATGTTGAACTGCTGTGATTGGCTATCAACATCCCTAGTGATAAAAACTGCTCACCCGGACGATCACATTTCACACCAAAAAACTGCTCTGATTGGCTATCAATACCACTACTCTGATTGGCTATCAAGATCACCCGACTAGTGATCATGAACTGCTCTTATTGGCTATCAAGACAACTAGAAATCTTGATCTGCTCTGATTGGCTGATCAATACCCTAAGTGATAATAAACCGCTCTGATTGGAGACCAAGCCCACTGTACTATACTGCGTACCCTCCAAGTGAAGATATTTATTTCATTCTTTGATCGTTTTCCTTGCTTTTGAAAACTGGAGATAAAGAGATCTGGTTAAATATTACGGTCCTTATTTCGCTGCAATTTTAATGCAATAACATTGTTTTATTTAGTATATTTACAGCTGAACATTAATTTATAGTAATTAATATTGGGAATTTATATCAATTAATATTTTATATAAGTAAAATAACTGAGAAATAATTGAGTTAGTGAACATTATATGCTGAACATTTTCACGAGAAACAGGTAGCCCAAACAAGCTACTTGATTGTGATCACTATTTGGTGATCGTACAAATATCAGCATCGGCTCAAAACAAAAAATATATATTATACTATAATAAAGTATAGTGTTATATTGATAATATATGGTTAATCTATTTATGCCTAATTTAATTGTGAGTATATGAGTTAAATTTCCAGACAAGGCTAAAGCGATTTTATACATTGTTATTCTTGTTTTAGGCGGACGGCTGTTATGGTAGGGCACGTGTCATTCTCTAACTCTGATCTTAACATTCCAAGGTATTCTACATCCTATAGCCCTCCACCACTTGGGCGTAATGTTTTCCCTTTTCAGACCACGTAYCATTCTCTTGAGAATAAGATTCTTTGTTTGAGTTGTATCCATATCCATGTCTCTTCATATGTGCAATCGAGCGCAACGTTAAAAAAAGAAATGATACTCTAGGGAATGACACATGGTCTGAAATGGAAAACATTACGCCCAAGTGGAGGAGGGCTATAGGAATGCCTCGGAATGTTATAAGATCAGTGCTAGAGAATGAGGTCTATTCTCTGCGCATCTGAGATATATTATAGCCCTGGACAGAAAGGCAGAGAAAGAAGTTATCAGTAACAGACCGTTCACAAGAAAGTATAAGGTTTTCCTAAATGCGAAGGACAAAATGACTTACTAGCCGTACTAATGCATGGTGACCCCGTACCTTCTTATGAACGGTCTCTAATAATACCGATATCGATTGAAGATGTTGTTAGGTACTTTGGCACAATACATCTTTTCTTAGGATACTTCGACCTAGGGTTCATGGTTTTCATTTGCCATATCTTGCCGGTATACCTAAGCTACATCGTTAACACTAGAGGTACACTGTCCTGCCAGGTATATATTTGGGATTAGATTCAAACAAGAGAACTTAACTAGTTCATATTCTCTTGATTCAAATTTATATAAATTAAGCAGGGGAATGGAGTGTTGTGTATAAATAACCTACGCCATTAAGATGGTGTTTGAAATCAAAGAAATGATAATTTTTCGCCATGCCACTATGTATACACCTATTTCAAAAATGTTTTTTGGATGGCAAAAGATATAGGAAATAAGAGATTGATCTGCGTGAATATTTACGTTTGGAGTATTCGGTGCTGATGACAGCCGAGTGCCGCCTAACACTCTTGATTAGGGCTACTTCCATTATTTGTCAGTAGGTCCTTTATATTTTACTTCAATTCCTTTCGGTCTTTACCCCAATTGACCCCCCTATGTCCTATCTCAATCCTATATCTTCTACATATCTCAGTCAATATCTCCTATCTTCTTTCGCCTTTTTAAAATAGGTGTATCCATTTATAAACATTTTGGCTTTTAAAGTACTCTCCTAGGTAGCATATCGTTTAGTCCATTCTCTTGCTATCCTATCGTGTTCTTCTCTGTTTGTCTGGTACTGTGTGGCGATGCTTCCAACCAGAGGATCAGCTGTCGGGAAGATAAAGTGTAACATTATATCCTTGAAATTAGCCCTCAGTTATCATTAGGCACCACAAAGCCACAAAATCTGCTCAACTGATTAATGTGGCCTTTCTCTTATCAAAACACATCAATGAAATCTGCTTGCTCAAGCCTGTTTTTTTGTTGTTTTTGTTTCCTTTTTGAGGTAAAATTTGAGTTAAAAAAATGTCGATAGAATCCGATATCTTGAAGTGCAAAGAAAGAAGTGAAACAGTCCATGTATTAGTGAACCCCTAGGTAACTCTCCTCTCGCTTACTCTACCCCAACCCCACGATTTTGGAATGAAAAGTCAGTCAAAGCTGTGTGTTGTCTGTTAGCAGGAGTTAGCTTTGGTCCCCCGACCTCAAGGACCACAGACCCACCCAGAGGGTCAAATGACAAATAACAAGATCACCATGGTAGATGACAAATCCTTCCAACATGGCATGCGCAGTTATGAACTCATAAGCATGTCAAAAATAAAGCTTCTGTTGACGCACTTCAGTTATGTATAACTAACCTGGGTTGCAGTCGGTGAGGAGTGAACAAATAGACAACAGAACCTTAGACACAGTCAGAGCCGCGCTCCAGTTGTCTTTCAAAATATCGAGGCAGATGGTACCCTGTAATGAAATACGTAGATTTGTTATATCACTATACTCAAACTCGATATTTGATTGGACGAAGGCATATATACGAACCTGACTGTTGATATTGCAGTGATAGATTCTTGTGCGAAAGGTGACCTAAACCACGAAGAAAATTAAAAAGATTAGATCGCTATAAGCCTTTTCATAGTTTAAGAATCGATTCCACTGCGCATGCGATTTTATCCCGAATTTCTCACCTTCTTTTGTCTAAACCTTTTGTTCTTAATTAAACAAAAGAAGGTGAGAAATTCGGGATAAAATCGCATGCGCAGTGGAATCGATTCTTAAACTATGAAAAGGCTTATTAGTATTGAACCCTTCCCCCTCCCCTTCCCTCCCCTCCACTCCTCTGCTCATTAATATTCACAGTGCTCCCTCCTTCTGCTATGAAGACGACTTTGACCCACTTGTCCCTAATCAATAAGTACCCACCTTTTTAATCTATCATACCTTCCCTCCCCTCCTCCCTAACTCGATAATGTCCGCCTCTTTTAGTTTAATTTATAACACACCCACCTCCCCCATTCGCAATATCRTTTATTGCCCTCTGGCCTTTTCCTTTTATTACAATCGCTTTTGTGATCTTAATTTATAACACAACGTCCCCCGCTTTTGATATTCACATTTCATTAATCAACATGAAATAAGGTCAGCCGAGTTTGTTTGCCCGACAGAAAGTCTACTCAAGACATTTGTATAAAGATATGCTAATCCTATTACTTCGTTTATAGAAAGTATACGGTTTTTTAAATACAAACAAATTTGTCAAAGTATCGCCAGAAAAAGAAAACAAAAGGTAAGGAAAGGAAACGAAAGGAAACGAAAGGAAACGAAAGGATAGGAAACGAAAGGAAAGGA